GCCCTCCTGGCCCATTGGTTCGGCTTTCTCTAGCCCTCCACCCTTGGCCAAGAGGGAACCCTAACATGGTGGCTTTTGGGCCTGACCTTCGGAGCAGTTTGTGATGTGGATAAGCTTGTCTGATTTGTCTCTTCTCTTTTCTCCCTGTCTTTTATCTCCCTTCCTTCCCTGGCTCCCTAAAGAGAGCGAGATTGTCCCCCCAGACTGCCTCCGTCCCCGGTCCTTCACTGCCATCCGAAGGCCCTCGCTGCGGAGAGACCCTGAGGACACGCGCCTCTCTGTCAGCCTGTGCGACCTCAACGTGCAGGATGGGAGCTTCCAGGCCGCGGCCATGGCGGCGTCGGCCTGTTCCATCCCTCAGAACTCCCTCAACTCTCAGAACTGCCACTCATTGCCCCCACAGCTAGAGAGGGACCTTCGCTTCCACCAGCTGCGAGGCGCTCACATCAAGATCCTGGATGAGCAGACCGTGGCCCGGCTGGAGCACGCCCGCGAGGAGCGGACATTGGTCTTCACTAGTCGGCCTCTGCGTGTGGGGGAGACCATCTTTGTCAAGGTCAACAAATCCAATACCTCCCGCCCCGGAACCCTGTCCTACGGTGTCACAACCTGTGATCCTGGGACTCTGCGTCCCAGTGACCTTCCCTATAACCCAGAGGCCTTGGTGGACAGGAAGGAGTTCTGGGCCGTGTGCCGGGTCCCAGGGCCCCTCCATAGTGGTGACATCCTGGGCTTTATGGTGACTGCTGATGGGGAGCTGCACCTGAGCCACAATGGGGCAGCCGCTGGCATGCAACTCTGTGTAGACGTTTCCCAGCCCCTCTGGATGCTCTTCAACCTGCATGGGGCCATCACACAGATCCGCGTCCTTGGTAGGTCTCACCCTTTTCCGAAAACATTTACCTGTTTGCACATAATCTGTGACTTACTTCACTGTGCTTTGGGGAAGACTGGCCATCTGGACCATGAAGCCATAGGGCAGACCCGACTTGCACACCCATTGGCAGCTGCCCTGAGTTACAGGAATAGGAAACAAACAGGCTTCTAAATGCTGGTCTTGTAAACCCATACCTATAGTGTGACGACAGGTGTCTGTCGGCTATAGGAAAATTAGAAAGAGGTAAGAACTTGTTTTGGGTACCTTACCCTCACCTGCCTCTCTTCTGTGCCTTGTGTTTTGCAAACATATACCACAGCAGAAAGAGTGCTAGGCCTGGACCTGGAAGATCTGTGTTTAAATCCTGATTCTGATACCTGACTGACCATCCTCTGGGGAAATAGGAATAACAATCCTTCTACTTCTTACTACTCAGGGTTGTTGTGAAGAAAACCTCTCTAAACCTTGGAAATCTATAAAAAGGGAAGTTATTTGTTCATGAACTGTCACAGCAGGGAGGGACCATAGTGATGAGATAAGCCAACTTCCCGCTTTTGCAGATGAGGAAAAGGGAAGCCTTCAAAGGCGATGACTCATTCAAGGTCACCCAGTCAGTCAATGGCAGAGCCTCTGTCCAGGGCTATTTCCACTCTCCCACACTGCCTCCCAGAGAATTTTGACTGCATGTGTATATGTGTGTATGCATACAAGTATGTGTGGCCAGGTTTGTGTGTATATGAGAAAGTGGACCACCCAGTCTGAGTCTTTTGGAAATGTCTTCTAAGAACGTATGTAAATGCGTGTATGATTAGGGGTGTGTGAATGTGAGTAATCTATGCTGGTGAGGGGTAGTTGGATGAGTTCAAGAAAAAAAAAAGATTAGGACTTTTCACCTTGGAAAGATTAGGATGAATGTGCATTCTTTGAGAGCAGGGGTTCATTTTTTGTCAGTATAGCCCAGCACCTAAGCCCAGTGTCTGGTGAATATGGTAGGCACTGAATAAATGCTTAATGAATTGAACTCATAAGATTAAGGCTGAGAGAGGTCATATTTTTGTCTCAAATATTTTTTTGCCTGAAGGAACAAGGCTTTCCCGAGCCTCAATTCTGGACTTCTCAACCCTGGACCTGACCTTTCTGTAGGAAAGGCAAGAGTAGTGGGCCCAGGTCTTGTCTTGGGGAGTTTATGGTCTGGTCAAGGGACAGGACTCCCACTGATCCTGATTGATGGCAGTACCAGCCAGAGTGTGGTGACAGGTGGTAAGGGTCAGAGGAGGGGACGTCAAGGTGGGCTGGAGCAGTCAGGGAAGGCTTCCCAGATGAGAGGTTGAGGCTGAGTCTCAAAGCATATGTCATCGATTCCTAGCAGCAGGGGTGTGTGTGTGTGTGTGTGTGTATACACACACACATACACTGAGTTGGGGGGTGGGGGAAGGAGGGGAAGGCTGGGGCACTAAGGGAGGGCATCGTATCCAGCCACCCACCTCCGTGCAGGATTTTTGCCAAACCATTGCCAAGAAGCCCTGACTCTGGTTTCCATTCTCCAACCAGCATTTATTAAGTATCTGCTGGATACAGTTCAATGGGAAATGCTAGGGAGATACAGAATTTAGGAGGACATGGTCCCTACCCTCGTGGATCTAAGATAGGACATGGGGCCTGTTCACAGGGACCTGTCTTTGTTGTTCAACCTTTAGTGTTTCTCATGGTCAGACTTTCAGGACAGAGAAAAACAGAGGGTGCCTTAGAAACTGGGATGAATTTTAGATAGAGTAGGGGCTCCCCCCCCACTATGTAGTGCCAGTCTCAGAATTGTTTTCTTGGAGGTGGTAGGGGGAGCCTCTGTAGTGAGATTATTAAGGGTGCCTCAGTTTCTCCATGGGTACAAAGTGGTGGGGGCAGTAATGTCTGCTGTGACTACTCAGAGAATGGGATTGAAGGTGCTCTGTGCCCCATTCCTGGGTTGGTGGCTGTAGGGCCTGATCCTGGTCCAGGTATACAGTAGGTGTCTGTTTGCTCTTTGTTCTCTGTGTAGAGAGAAGGATGTAGGGGATAGTGTAGGCAGGTGGTCATTTGGATTAATTTGGTTAAAAGCAGCATCTGTGCACATTATAATGAACTGGCCAAGAGGATCTTGAGAAAGAAATTCAGATGGGAGGAGAAGAGAACAAATTGAGATGAAATGACATCAGATTGGGCCAATAAGAAATCAGCCCAAGGTCCGGCACTCACTTTTCTGACCCCAGTCCCCTACCAGGGACTCCAATTAAAAAGAGATCTCCACAGCAGGAAGGATGAAGGCACCTAGCGTGGAGAATGGAGCAGTGGGGGAGACCAAGCCTCCCCAAACAGGCTCCCACAATCTTTGCTTTTCTAGTGTGTTGGAGAAACCCCTCCCCAAATCACCGTGGCCCTGGTGTAGTTCTATAATGTTTCCATCAACTAGAAAGGGGTCCTTGCCGTGTGGCCTCAGACAAATCACTCAACCTCTCTGGGCCAAAATGTTTCTTTCCCTCCCTTCATACCTCCTAACCATCTGCCTTCCGGGGAGGTTGTCAAAATAAATGAGCTAGTCCTGCTGAGACACTTACTGGTCGTTTGAGAAAGGATATTATGTTACTACAAGATATCTTCTTATCTGGCTATTAATAGCACTTCCTAGGGGTCTCTATTGCTGCTCTAAGGAGTGAGAGCCTGCCTAGTAGGGAAGAGTGGGGGTGGGGGATGGGGAAAGAGAAGGGAGATTAGGGGGAAAGGAAAGAGAGGAAGTTTCTTTTAAATTGCAGAGGAGAAGAAGGGAAGGGGCTTCTGAACTGGACTTCAAGGCTCTGTGGCTTACCTAGGGAATTCTGTGGATATACAGGAACTGCTGCCCTTGGGGCCCAGCAGAGAAAGTGCTTCACCCAGAGATACCAGGAGCCCCACTGCAGGTGGCTGTTCACACTACGGAAGAGTGTTTGGCTGTACAAAAGGCTGTCTCCGTTTTTGGTTAGGTTTTTTTTTTTTTTGCAAAGAAGCATCTGTTTATAGATCTTTAATTAGCAGCCACGGGTACCAGGCACAGAATGAAGACGTCCTACCTACTGAAGAACCACCAGGGATAGAGATAGACCTCGATAGGGAGGTAGCCACCCACCATTCAGGAAACAGGGTTCAATTTACAAAGATTGCTTTTATTCACAATTCCCCAGGAACACAATTATATAAAGGGAAATCTATGCTGTGGGCTGAGACATTTAGACTTCATCATCTAAGCATTTGGGAACCATGGAAGGTTTCTTAGCAAGGGAGTGATGTAGACAACAAAAATTCTTTATTATTCTTTTTAATAATTAATTTATTTATTTTTAGTTTTCAACATTCACTTCCGTAAGATTTTTTTTTTAAGGCAGTTGGGGTTAAGTTGGGGTTAAGCCCAGGGTCACACAGCCAGTAAGTGTCAAGTGTCTGAGGCTGGGTTTGAACTCAGGTCCTCCTGACTTCAGGGCCGGTGCTCTATCCACTGCGCCACCTAGCTGCCCCCATAAGATTTTGAGTTTTAAATTTTCTCCCCTTCCTTTTCCCCCCTGCCAAGACGGCATGCAATCTGATATATGCTCTACTTATACATTCATAATAAGCATATTTTTCCATTAGTCATGATGTAATGAACAATTAGAACTAATGGGAGGAACCACGAGAATGAAGCCATAAAACAAAACAACAAAGGAAGAAGAGAGCAAATAGTATCCTTCTATCTGTATTCAGACTCCATAGTTCTTTCTCTGGATGTGGATAGCATTTTCCAGCATGAGACTTTTGGAGACGTCTTAGATCCTTGAATTGCTGAGAAGAGCCAAGTCTATCAATGTCAGTCATCATACAACATTTCTGTTACTGTGTACGATGTTCTCCTGGTTTTGCTCATTTCACTCAGCATCAGTCCATACAAGTCTTTCCAGGTTTTTCTGAAGTCTGCTTGCTCATCATTTCTTATAGCACAATAGTATTCCATTAAAATGATATTCCACAACTTGTTCAGCCATTCCCCAATTGATGGGCATCCCCTCAATTTCCAGTTCTTTGCCACCACAATACTTTTGTACATGTGGGTCCTTTTCCCATTTTTATGATCTCTTTGGGATACAGTCCTGGAAGTGGTATTGCTGGATCAAGACAACAGAGATACTTTAGAACAGTTATTTCCAACATTGTGTGACGGATGTTTCAAAAGCCCCCCCTCAAGAGGGACCCTTCAAGCTCCTGTTTCCTTATCGGCTATAATCATCTCCATTGGGTGGGGATGGTGGCCAGGGCTGAGGAGGAAGTGACCAGATGTGGCCCTCTCTTCTTTTTTCCTTATCACTGTCTTGTAGGCTCCACCATCCTGGCTGAGCGAGGTGTCCCATCTCTCCCGAGCTCCCCAGCATCTTCACCCACTTCTCCTACTGGTCTGTGCAGTCGGCTCTCTGACCCTCTGCTGAGTGCATGTAGCTCTGGACCCCCAGGCAGTTCTCTCAGTGGTGAGTATGACCTTCCTCTTTATTCCTTACTCATCATCCCTATTACTGTCTCCATCCAGCCCCTTCTGGAGCAGAGGAAAAGGGGGGGCCTGTTGAAATAGACCCAAAGATCCTCTATAGCTCCCCTGTATCCTTAATCTGGACTTCCCTTTGGGAAACTACAGTGTCATATGTTGTAAAGAACACTGAATTTGGGACCTGGGGCCTGGGTTCAAATATTGGCTCTGTGTGACCTTGGGCAAGGTCACATCACCTCTATAGGCCTCCATTTCTCCATCTGTAAGATGAGGGTCTTGGCTAGCTGATTTCCAAGGTTCTTTCTGACTCTAAACCCTGAGGAATTGTATATCACAACATTTATTCAGCATTTCCTTCAGATCCTTATCAGCAACAGGTCATCTGCTCATGAAAACTTTCCAGATACCCTGTTTATTATTCCCTCTTATTTCACAGAGAGATAAACTGATGCTTAGAAAGGTTTGGTATCCCTCCCAAAGGCCCACAGTAGCTCATCAGTGGAGTGAGCCAAGATTGCCCAGACCCCTCCCACAACCCCTTCCTCTTACACTTGCCTTCCACCTCTCCCCAGGCACAGCCCCCAACTCTCCTGTAAGCCTGCCTGAGTCACCTCTGTCACCAGGCCCCGGGCTGGGGCCGGGGCCAGGGCCGTGGAGCGATGAGTGTACCATCTGTTATGAGAACACAGTGGACACGGTCATCTACACCTGCGGTCACATGTGCCTGTGCTACTCCTGTGGCCTGCGCCTGAAGAAGACTGTCCACGCTTGCTGTCCCATCTGCCGTCGAGTCATCAAAGACATCATTAAGACCTACCGGAGCACCTAGATCTGGTGCTGCCCCCGCTGCTCCCCCACCCCCACCCTGCCCATGGTGGGACTCTAGCCATCAGGAGGCCAACTCCATCCCTACCAGAGGGCTAGCAAACAGGGACCCCTTTTTCTCTCCTTTTTGGAAACTTGTTTTCCCTTCCTCCATTAAAAAAGCAAAGCAAAGGCTCACCGGGGGCTTTAGGGCATATGGGGTAGAAAGGTAGCCCCTCCAGGTGACCTCATTGGCTACTATCTCTGGAATCCGTGAGAAGACAGACCTGTGCTTTGGACCCTAATTCATCTGGGGATGCCCTGACTCAGCAAAAGCCTGGGCCCCTGCCTGGTGATTTCTAGAGAAGGGGAGGGACAGGGCAAATCCAGGGTTTGGAGAAACCAGGAATATCTCTCCTTGTTCCCACCCTCATAAGCCATGTCTGACCAGGCCTCTGGGGAGGAGTGTAATGAGAGCCAGCACCTCCCACCCCAGAGTGCACCTGACTAGTCTGACCCCTTTAAAAAAAGCCTCTCCTGTTTTCTCTTTCTGATTTTCTTTCCTCTCTTATCTCTGCACTGTTTTCTTCCTCTCCTGCCATCTCTTCTCTCTCCCTTCCTCTCATTCTGTCTCTCTCTTCCCTTTCACAGATTGTCAGTGTTTGACTGAAGGATTTGGAGCTTTTTGGAAAGGAACTGCCCTGTCCATTTTCCTCAGCTTCCCCTTCAGCTAGAGGGCAACTGGGTGGTACAGTGGATAGATTGTTGAGGGTGGAGTCAGGAAGACCAGATTTCAAATCCTCCCTCACTCTCCCTAGTTGCGTGACCCAGGGCATGTCATTTAACCTTTTTTTGGCCTCAGTTTACTCATCTGTAAAATGAGGGAGTTAACCTCACCAGCCTTCAGGGATCCTTCCAACTTTAGATTTCTGATCCTATGACCTACAGGAAGAAAGGATATCTGCCTTCTGAACTTTTCCCCTTCTCTTCCTTTATGATGAAACTCACATCTCAGGCTGCCCCTCAGGTACGTGTGGAATTGTGATTTGACTGCAGTGAGGAATAACTACAGAGAGGCCCATTCAGATTGGATACCACCTCCTTTTGACTTTTGAGAAGTGGGTTTTAGTGACTCTTGACTTCTCCCAGGTCCCTGTGACCATGGGGAGAGGTCTTGCTTTGCAGTTGGCCTCCTAAGACACAAATCATCTCACCCTGCATTCATCCCAGGCCCCCAACCAGGGTCAGGGGCAGGGGATGCTTCTCCCCAGCTCTCCCCACCCCCACTCCCTCAGGCATCCTCCTCCCATCATCTCAGTGCCGGGGGGGGGGGGGGGGGCAGTTCATCATGGAAGCTATGGGGGACCTAGGAGGAGGGGAGTGTTTCTGACTCACACTCTCCCTCACATAGGCCCTTCCTGCCCAGCAGTCATTTCCAACTTTGGCCATACCCCAACCCTGGCCTGTAACCCCTCTCTTGCTCTCTTGCCTTATTTATTTTTAATTAATTTATTGACTTCCACTAGGTGGTGTTGCTGTTCCCCAACCTATCCCTTCTCTGCCTCATGACCTGGAGGACTAGCCTTAGGTGCCTATGACATGTGCCAGGCAGGGGGCAGTTGGGTGACAAAGACAGCTTCATCCCAGATGCTCCCCACTGGGGCTTGACCCACTCAGGCTCAGTAAGCCTCTCTTCCATCAAAACCCAGCCAAATATTTCCTTAGCCTCCAGGAAAGGAATGGAGGATTGAAAATCTCTATCCTAGACAATTCTCTCCCATTTCCCAGAGGAGTTTTCAGGTGTTCTAGAGTCTCAGGAGGCAGTCTGGTGCTGGATTTTGAGCCAAAGGACCTGAGTTCAAGCCCCAATTCTGCTACTATATGTGCAACCTTGGTTACTTAACCTCTCTGAGTCTCAGTTTCCTCATCTGGAAATGGGAGGGGTGGACACGATGAACTCTGAGGTCTTTTCCGGTTGGTAAAGAGAACCCAGAGGCTGAGAAAGGAGGGTTCATTTGGGAAAGCTTTGTTTGTTGACTTCTAATCTGTGGTAGGAGTAGGGTACCTGGGGTAAGAGACTTTCCCTCTCTATCTTCTTCTCCTCTGACCCAATGGAAGGCCAAAAAAGAGTCCTGGACCTCAATGAAATAGGTTTCCAGTTGAAAGGAAGTGGAGATGCTTAAAGCCTTTTGGTGTCTGTCCATCTGCTGTTTTTCCTCCCAGGGTTGGAGGTCCAGAGCTCTCTTTTGGGAGAAGGTCAGTCTGTGATTTGGGATGCATTGCCAAGGGGCAAGTGGTGTCTTTAGCACTTGTCTCAAGCCACAGTCATCTCACCCAAAGTCCATCCCTAACACTGACCAGACTTCAGGATTTCAGGGGTGTTAGATGGTTTGGAGGAACTGAGTAGGGTTGGGTCTTCCCTCGGTTCACCGGGGTGAGTCTTTCCCACCCTTGGGGTTAGCAACTGCTTTTGTTTGACCCTTTGCTGCTACCCTATCTGCCCATATCCAGTCTTGGTTCCCCTCTGCTGCTGAACATAGGGAAAACATGAGGGGAAGCATCACCTTTCAGTGCAAAGAGTCCTCTACCAGAAGACCTGGATTCTTTTCCTTTCTCTGTCACTAACTCCCTGTGTGAGCCTAAGCAAACCACTTTTGCTCTGTGTATGTCCGTTTTCTCTAAGTCACGGGAGTTGTACTAGGTGGTTTCTAAAGTTCCTTCCAGTTCTGAAGTTAGATTGAGCTTAATTCTAAGATTTTGGTTGGTGGGTTGGGATTGGAGATGGGGGAGTGGGAGAGAAATCCTTTCCCCAGCCCTTCCAGAAGCAAGGAATCTCCTGGTCGACTCCTCTGAGATTCCAAATTAGGGCATCTTTAGGGAGGTAGACACAGGGTTCCCCTTACTCTGTTCTGATCTGGGGTCATATTTTCATGGGGGTGCTGGGGAAAAGGAGGAATGGGAAGGAGGAAGAGAAGGCACCTACCTTGTTCTATTCCATTTCTTTCTGATGCTATAGTTAGATGCCACCTCCATTGTGTCCTTGGGTCACCCTGATTGTGAATAAAGGTGATTTAGCTATCCAACCTCTCAGCTGACCAGTTCTGCTGTTCTGTCACTGTGGGGTGAGTGCTATCAATCAACCAGCATTTATTAAGCACTTACTGTGTGCCAGGCACTGTGCTAAACTCTGGGTTGAGAGAATCCAATCCTATAATTCAGTTCATTAAACATTTATTAAGGACCTACTCTGTACTAAGCCCCCGTGCTAAGCTCTTGGTTGGGAAAATCCCATTCAACAAGCATTTATTAAGCTTTTACTATGTGCCACCTGACACAGTGCAGCTCGAAGTAGGGGTGGGGAACCTGTGGGCCCAGGCCATTGTGGCCTTCTGACTGAGTCCAAGTTTTACAGAACAAATCCTTTTGTTAAAGGAATTTGTTCTGTGAAGCTTGGATTAAGTCAAAGGGCTGCTTTTGAGGACCTAGAGGGCCACATGTGGCCTTGAGGCCACAGGTTCCTACCTTTGGATAGTGGATAGAGTGTTGGACTTGGAGTCAAAAAGACCTAAGTTCAAATCCAGCTGTATGACCCTACACAAATCATGTAATCTTTCAGCCTCAGTCTTCTCATCTGTAAAATGGAGATAATAGTATCTATACCATAGGGTTGTTATAAGGATCAAATGAGATAACATATATAAAGTTCTTTTTGAGCCTTGAAGTGCTATATGCATGCTAGCTAGCTATTAGGGTGGATAGAAGGTAGAAAGACCTGGGTTCAGGTCTTGCCTCTGAATCATACTAGCTCTGTGATCTTGGGCAAGTCACTTAAACTCTCAGTGCATCCAGGCAGCTCTTTAGCTCTCCAAGTAAGAGGGGAGTTGCCTATCTACATTAGTGGAATGACTTTTCTATGCCAGGAGTTCCTTATCCAGAGGAGGTCACAGATCTGGATACTCCCTTCACAGGTCCCCTTCCCACAATGTGCCAGGCACAGAGAAAGACTAACATTTAAAAAGTTCTTGTCCTCAAGGAGTTTACATTCTACTACATGTGTGTTTGTGTATATGCTTGCCTATTCAGAGAAGACTCTTGGTATGGGAGTAAGAGCATCAAACTTGGAGCCAGGAAACCTGGAGTCCAGCCCTGATGATATCATCATGGCTTTGTGATTATGGGGAGGCAGAGGTACAAGAGGGTAGCTGAATCGCCTGTGTGCCAAATAGGGATGACAATCCCTGTTCTGCCTATGGAATAGCAGGATTTGGGGGGATCAAACAGGAATGGTGTCTGAGAAGGAGCATCTGAAACTTCAAAGATTGCTTCATCCTAAAGTAGTAATTGTAAAGCACGTAGCACCATGCCTTGCACATGGTAAGTGCTGTATAAGTGTTGTTATGGTTATCATGTATCATATTAACATCCCTGAGCAGGATGGGAGAAAGGTGGGAAAGGGAGACATAGAGTAGTCATGTGTCCACAATCTGTTTTATGAGTATTTACTGACCTCCTCTGCCGTATGCCTCAGTCCTGAGAAATGCTGCAGTGGAAGAATCCGAAATAATACGGTAGAAGGATAAAGCGCTATTTCTGACCTGAGAAAGCCCAGGAGAAATGGATTAGTAGGAAGAAATGATTACTTCCCAGTGTGTGTATGGTGGGAGTCGGGTGGAGGGGAGAAGACTGCCCCCAAAAAGTGGCTGTTGAAGGACAGATTCCCAGAGGATTTGGCTCAAGGGGTCAGGGCTTCCAGGTGAGTTTTGTTGAATGGGGGGGGGAGGGGGGCGGGGAGGGGCAGCTCATGTTCTGTAGCTGTTGGAATGGTCTTGGAAGGAAGCTCAGGAGGGTTGGGGTCACTGGGAAGCCGGACACATAATCAATGATGTGGTTTCTTTCGACTGGCAAATGGACAGGGTGGTTTCTGAAACCTTCAATATTGGGTGTGTTTGTGAGGTTAGATGGTACCACCTAGAGGCTAACGGGGGGGATAGCAGGATGAAGAAATACCAAGTCTTTGCCCTAAGGAGATGATCTCCTGCTTCAGTTAGAAGGTCTTGTTGAAGTTCATCAAGACCATCCGTTTTGACTGGCCAGCACTGAACCACCTTGGTTATCCCAGCCCCACCCAGTCATCCTTCCTAGGGCTTAATCTCTGGCAGGTTTGTGATCTTTGGCCTATGGGACAGAGAGGCCCCTGAGATAGTACGGAGATGGGGCAGCTACATGGTGAAGTGGATAGAGCACTGGTCCTGGAGTCAGGAGGACTTGAGTTCAAATCCGGCCTCAGACACGTGACACTAGCTGTATGACCCTGGGCAAGTCACTTAACCCTGATTGCCTCGCGCCTTCCCCCCCAAAAAAAGAGATAGTGCAGGGGCACGTAGTAGTTCTTTGATGCACCAAGTGCTGCTCTGTTGGCCAGAGAGACTTCTGGACCAAAAAATCAGGAACCTAGAAGGGCTGCATTCAGATTTCTAAGGCCACTGCTTTTTTATTAGAAATAGCACTGGTTTGGGAGTTAAAGACCGGGGTTGAAATTCTATCTCTGATGATTACTATTTGTGTAATCCTGGCCCTCAGTTTCCTCATGTGTAAATTGAAGGGGCAGGGGGAGGTTATACTATATGGCTTCTGGAGGCCCTTCCAGCTTATAGATCTATGATCTTATGTTTGGAGGCAGTGGAGATTAGAATCATAGAACTTCAGAGTTGGAAGTCCAATAAGAATCCACACTATCCATGGTAAACAAGCATTCTTCAAGCCTTTAATGGAAGATCTTCCCTGAAAGGAAGGCATAAAAAGGTCAGACAGCCCAATGCACTCTGGGATATGTCTCATCATTGGAAAGTTTTTCCATAAATCAAGACTAAATTTGCCTAACCCCACCCATTCCTCCAGCCTGTTTATTCCTCCTGGGGCCAAGCAGAGTGTCTTTCCTCTTTATATGATAAGATTGGGGGAAGGATAAAGCCTCATTTCTGACCAGAGGATGCCCAGGAGAAATGGATTAGAAGGGAGAAGATGGCTACCTCCTGGTGGGTGTTTTTATGGGGAGATGATGATAATGGTGAAAGGTAGCCCTCAAATACTTGAGGACCAGCATTCATTCCCCCATGTGGTATGATATCAAAGCCCCTTCACCTCCTATGCTCTCCTATGGACCCTGTCTAGCTTCTCAATGTTCTTCCTAAAATACATCACTCAAAATGGAGCCAATGCTGCTCCCTCTAGGAATGGTCTGACTAGGCACATAGAGTACAGTGGGATTATTGCCTCCTCACTCTTGGGTGTTATGTCTCTTTTAATGTAGCCTTTAACATAGGGA